TGTGGGTATGTGTATATGTGTATATGTGTATATGTGTATATGTGTACATGTGTATATGTGTATATGTGTGTATGTATGTATGTATGTATGTATGTATGTATGTATGTATGTATGTATGTATGTAAGTATATATGTATGTATGTATGTATGTATGTATGTATGTATGTGTGTATGTATGTGTGTATGTATGTATGTATGTATGTATGTACGTACGTACATACGTATGTATGTATGTATGTATGTGTATACGTGCATACGTACATAGTACGTAGGTCGGTAGGTCCTAGGTAGGTAGGTAGGTAGGTAGGTAGGTAGGTAGGTAGGTGGGTGGGTGGGTGGGTCGGTAGGTAGGCAACTGGTAGGCAGGTAGGTAGGTGTTAGGTAGGCAGGCAGGCAGGCAGGCAGGCAGGCAGACAGGTAGGCATGCATGCATGCATGGATGGATGTATGTGTACGTGTATATAAATAATAATATGTATGATGATTATTATTAATGTGAATGATATACAGAAAAACACACCCTCCCACGCCCACACCTACCCACACCCACCCAACCCTGCCCACACCCACCCATGTGCCCATGCACCCACCCACACAGCCTCCCCTTTTGAGGCTGCGCAGCACTTGTGTTCATTCATTCTGGCTTCTATGCTACTGCAATAATGGCAACCACCGCGAAAATTGAATGAGCATTGACGAAACGAGCCTCGTGATAGTCGTCCTTGTGGCCCTGCTCTGCGACTTTGGCACAGCAGCGGGCGCAGTAGAAAGTGCGGCCAAACCATTCTCCCTCAGACTCCTGGGTTCCACATGTGTGTGGCTTGAAGCTTCGGAGATTCTCAGAACTGTCAACGATTGCAGAATACGTCACACTTGGCTCGACTTGGTACACGCACAGGTTTCCGAATAGACAGCTGCATAGCGCAAGTAGTGTAGCTTCAATCCGCCGGAACTTCAACACGCTCAGATTACCACCGCTGAGGACCCTGGCAATTCTGAGTCAGGCTTTGCACTGTGTAACCTAAGCTTACATGCCGGGAAGCCCATTTGCGACACTGCTTGCATTTCCGCTCATCGTTCTTCCATTTCGAGTCCTGGCCCCATGACCAACATAATTGCACCGTTTTGTCATCCTTCATAATTAGTTAAAACCACCAGATGAAACATTTCTGAGACGTTGTTTGGACGACTACCTTGAGCTCAATGACGTTGGAAGGGAGGTGACAAGCCCAATTTTTTTGGAGCACGTCGCCATAGGCAGCACAGGTAGCTGGTCGTTAGTTGGACAGGCAGCACTGGCGGCTCCCGGAAGTGACAGCTATAAAAGAAGTGGTCGTCGCGGCAGCAGTGGCATAGTGAATTTTTGTTTGTTAAAATAGTCGTCACGGTCGTCCTCATGGTGATATAACAACAGTTAGCAGTTGATGGACAAGTAAGCAAGCAGCCAAGTCGGTGGGTAGGTAGCTAGGAAGGTAGGTAGGTAGGTAGGTAGGTAGGTAGGTAGGTAGGTAGGTAGGTAGGTACGTAAGTTAGTAGTAGTAGTGATAGTAGTAGTAGTAGTAGTAGTAGGAGTAGTAGTAGTAGTAGAAGCAGTAGCAGTAGTAGCAGTAGCAGTAGTAGTAGTAGTAGTAGTAGTAGTAGTAGTAGTTCTAGTAGTACTAGTAGTACTAGTAGTACTAGTAGTACTAGTAGTACTAGTAGTACTAGTAGCAGCAGCAGCAGCAGCAGCAGTAGTAGTAGTACTAGTAACAAGTAGTANNGTAGTAGTTGTATTAGTAGTAGTAGTACTTGTAGTAGTAGTATTAGTAGTAGTAGTAGTAGTAGCAGAAGCAGTAGCAGTAGCAGCAGTAGAGTAATAGTAAAAGAAATAGTAGTCCTACTAGTACTACAAGAAGTAGTAATAATGTTAATTACATCAGTAGTAGTAGTAGTAGCAGCAGCAGGAGTAGTAGTAGTAGTTGTTGTTGTTGTTGCTAATGGTAGTCGTCGTAGTAGTAGTAGCAGTAGTTGTTGTTGTAGTACTGGTAGTAGTGGAAGAAGTAGTAGTAGTAGCAGAAGTAGTGGAAGTAGTAGCAATAGCAGCAGGAGTAGTAGTAGTAGTAGTTGTTGTTGTTGTTGTTGTAGAGCTAGTACTAGTACTAGTAGTATTAGTAGTCGTAGTAGTAGTAGTAGTAGCAGTAGTAGTAGTAGTAGTAGTAGTGGTGGTAGTGGTGGTAGTGGTGGCAGTCGTAGTAGTAGTAGTAGTAGTACTTGTAGTAGTAGTATTAGTAGTAATAGTACTTGTAGTAGTAGTAGTAGTAGTAGTAGCAGCAGCAGAAGCAGTAGCAGCAGTAGAGTAATAGTAAAGGAAATAGTAGTCCTACTAGTACTACAAGAAGTAGTAATGAGAGTAATAATGTTAATTACATCAGTAGTAGTAGTAGTAGTTGTTGTTGTTGTTGTTGCTAATGGTAGTCGTCGTAGTAGTAGTAGCAGCACCAGCAGTAGTTGTTGTTGTAGTACTGGTAGTAGTGGAAGAAGTAGTAGTAGTAGCAGAAGTAGTGGAAGTAGTAGTAATAGCAGCAGGAGTAGTAGTAGTAGTAGTAGTTGTAGTAGTAGTAATAGCTGCAGTAGCAGTAGCAGTAGCAGTAGCAGTAGCAGTAGTGGTAGGAAGAAGAGCATGGAACTCAAACTGTCACAGCCGTATTCCCAATGCAGGATACTGTGCCATCGTGTCTTACCGAACGCATCAATGTTGACCGAAAACCCGACTTACGTCATTCTGGACTCAGGATGCACTCGTGCTATGGGTTCTTGCAATGCAGTCAATAGCCTGATTAAAGCGAGCGCTCCGCTATGCGCCCGGCAAGATGGAATCTACTTTTCCGCCCTTTAACACCAAGTTTTCTTGAGCTGACTGTGAGACGTCTCATCCAGGAGAAGGTCACTCTGTGGTTCTTCGCCAAGCCACCACCCGACACCACGATTGAAGTGCTTGACCAAGGTCGCGTGCCTATTCTGTTTTCCATTGAAAAGATGCGGACTCTGCGCATGACTCTGGAATGTAGTCCAACGGCAGACCTAGCTTCTTGTGAATCCTTTGGATTGTGCAAAACGCTTCTCTCCCTGTCAGCGCGAATAATCATCTTGTGTTAGACCTTCTCAGCTTGACTTCCGCCTCGCAGAAGAATCATCCGAGTAATCGTTGTTTTGAAGCCACGGCATCTGCACGTGCAGCGGGAGATGAAAAGAAGGCTGACCCAACGATCGAGCCTGATGCTCCTGGTTGTCCTGCCCGTTCAGGAAAGACCCAGGACACATACTTACAAATCTGGTTGCAACGAATCTAAAGGACCAGAGTCTTCCACAGAAGGGTCCTCCGAACCATCCACGGTGCACCGACTGACGAAGAAGGCCAAACCTGCTTACAAGCCCAAGGTTCCCATAACAGCAGGTGAACCCGTTCCTGGAGCTGACAAGGACGCTGGTGTCAAGCCACTTGGGTCAAGTGAACACCAAGCTCCAGAACCGCCAGAACCATCGTCTTCTTCGAGAGAGGGGCCAGGGTCAGCGTCTGACACGACAGTCGTACACCGATGTGGTCGGAATAGACCCACTCATGGGTAGGGGTGTCGACAACGACATAGACCTTGCAACTACTGGGAAGACAGGCCTCGTCCAGAACGTCCGGCAGAACCTGCCAATCCACCTCGCTCACGAGGAAGAGGACGCGCCGCAAATACGGAACCCCGTTCTCGCTCACGAGGACTCGGAGGAACCTTTTAAAGGGCCTCGTGTAGTTGATAAACTCAACGTGCCTCTTGACGAAGAGAACCCCAGATCCAACAAGAACAGGAAGAACCCCCTTCTGATGAACAGGGGTACAGGACGAAGAATCCTCGTCCACACAAAGACGCCGTGCACGGCGAACTTCAAATCCTCCTTCAGCACAAAGCCAGAAGGCAGCTCGACCTGCAGGTGCCACAGGACTAGCCGCTCCTTCTTCAACCAGAGATGTGGCGGTGGATCTGCAGCAGCACATCCCACAGAAAATGGCGAAGATCATTCACTCACAAGTGAACTTAGTGTTATGCAGAACGTGTTATGGCTTTGGGTCAATGTCGAAGGCTACGGCCAAGGCGAAAGCAAAGGCTCATTGCCTCGAGCCCGACGCGGAACCAATCAGGACTGAGATCGTTCAAGGTCCCTGTCAAACCATTCAAGGTCCAAGGTGAGAGCCCCTCCCTCAGCAGAATTTGGCACACGGCAAGAACAGAGTCTGCTTACCGTCGCAATGACATTTTCAACCGTGGTGATACACCGCAGTCCGAAGCTGCTGCACGTGGTCAGGCAACACTCACCAGTGCCGTGCCCAAGTCGCCTCCTACTGAGGCGGTGCCAGGATTTTCGTTTTTACCGAGCCTCCTGCTACCAACCATGGGCATCTACAGGGAACAAGGGCTAACGCTAAAGCTAGCACAAGACTTAGCGGCCAAAGCACGCGTGACGCACGAGCAAATGCAAGAGCACTGGTTGGACAGAGTTCTCAAGGGAACCTTCAACTTGCTCAACGAGCGTTCGACCTAAACACTGAGCACCTCACCGCTAGTACTCAAAGAGCAAACGTCCTTGAACAAGAACGGAAGTCTATTCGACTCGCACTCGAGTCTGCAGAACTATATAGCGAGACGAGAAGGACTGAACCTAACGAGTTTGATCAAGACCACATGTGGGCAATGGAATTCCCACCAGTCTTGTGCATTCTTCGTACAACCCTTCAGGGGCGGAGATCCGAGACGACATGACTGCTGTCTGGCCTCTCGGAACAAATATCAGAATGTTCAGTCAGCTCGAAGCTCTTGAACGGCAGGCAGACAGAGAAGCAGTCGCCTTCCGAGATCAGTTCAAGGAGCATCGAAACACTCTCTTTAGAGCCAACGAGTTCATCCAACATCTTCGAAAGGCTCGCAATACAATTAATGCTCAAACTGTTCTGAACATCCACTTGAAGAACAAACTTCTTGAGTGTCAAAACACATTGAGCCAGTTGTTCGACGATGTTTTCAGCGATCCGGACGACTCACCGCCAGGTGACGATAGAACACGCGGAACTCATGCCTACTGGTCCAGTTTCCACAGGAATGACCTAAACCGGACAGAGACGTCATAGCCGTCGGGACGCCAGCTGCTCACAAGCAGAAAGACCCTGGAATCCTACGCGCCGGGTAATCCAGAGGAATGACAATGGCTCAGATGCGTCCTTCTCTTCACATGACGCACGACATGGAGCCAAAGCCAACAGCTCCAGTTGCGAAAACATGATACCTCCTCGGTATCCTCGACTCGGACGAAGAGGCATATGATGGTGCTGATTCCGATCCCGACGAAACGCATCCGCAACACGATGCGGACAGCTTTCGGCATGAAGACTAAATCCCCACAGGAACAGTCTTGCCTAAAAGTGTTGCGCCCTCACAAGAGCAAGAACACTCTGCACTAGGTCATTCTGAGCGCCTAGGACTTGATCATGTGCAGTAGATCTCTCCGAGACCAACTTCGATCACAAAGTGACGAAAAAACAGTGACCGCTCTTCCGAGTTGGTTTTACGCTCCTCTCTTTTTGTGCTAACGTATTTTACATCTAGGGCCCAATCTCACTTCGCACCACACTTGATGACGATTCGATATGACACATACGTGTGAGTGGTGCCATGCTTAGTTTGTGTCTGTTTGTTTGCCCAAACCCTGGATGCCCCCAGGCAGTCAGGAATTACGTCATGTCATGTACCTGCAGCAATGGCATACAACTTGCATGTATGCGCGGTAGTCGTTTCCGTCTCAAGTGGTTTCAAGACACTAGCTCTCTCTGCGTGTAGCAAAACGACTATGTTGTCTGCGTCAAAGGGCAAGCGTTTAGATCCTCAGGGATCAGACCTGCGCCATATCCTTCCACTGAAGTTGGGATATTCGGGGGCCGAGGGGGGAGGGGAGCGCCAAGAGGTCCTGCTATGATGGGTCCAACATCCAAGACGTGGCACACCCCCCCCTCCCCCCGCGCTCACCACCACCAGCACCTCAGCACAACGTGCAACCACAGACCAATCCACCATCCCACCGACATGCGCGCAGCCACTCCTAATCGACACCAAGCCTCAGGTAACCTTCTAGTCTTATGTGCTGACAAGCAGAAGTTTCCTTTAATAGAGAAAAGTATGGAATTAATTTTGGTTACCCCGAGACATGGTTGGATAAATTCATGGAAACACACTGTATTTGCAGTGGATTCTGCCTGTCCTTTTGTAAGCACCTACGCAGGTTGTTTTCAAACACCGCGCCTAGCTTATAAATGCATGGGCTGTCTGTAAACATGTGTGTTGCTTAAGTGCAGAGGCACATGTGTGCCCGTGTGTTTCTGTTTCTGTGTACACAGAAACAAACGCACTTGCAGCAATGTGCAGCTGAATCGTCCAGGTTCCTCGAGTTAAACCATCAGGATGCTTGTGAAGAGTATTTCAACTAAACCAAATCTCTTGTAAGGCTATGTGTAGGGATGGGCATACAGTAGCCTGGACCATACCGGTTTGAGGAACCATTAAAAAAAAACAATCCCTTATGGCTTGGAACTGATCCGGTATCCAGTGCAGCAGTCTCGTAAACCCCAAAGATATTGATCCAAATACTTGCTAGTTCGGGGTGTACTTTGTGAACCATGGTATTCCAAGAAGAACGATTGGCAAGCATCAGCACAAGTAAGATTCCAGTCAAGGACAGGAGTCAGATCTTCAGTTTGTTCTTCGTAGTCTTGCATTGTGTAAAAACATAGACATAGGCTTCATCCGCTTACATCTTTACCTTGCTTCGGCGTTGTTGATCACAAGTGCACTTCAGTGCATGCACACTTTGTTAACCCTATGCAGTTCGACAGGTAGTTAGGCTGAATTTCTACGTTGGTGCTACCAAATATTGTAGCATCGTTAGTGGTGTTGGCTGGGTTTGCTTTGGGTAGAGAGTCCAAAGTCTTAAGGCTAGAGGTTCGAGGCTGCATCCGGAAACTGTCGAGCGTAGGTGGTGTACCCAAAAAAAGTGTGTTTAACGAGTCCTGAAACCACCGATATTTACAGTGTTTCTGCTGGTAAAACCTGCTGCGAAAGAACCCGATGAAGTGTTCCACCTAGACAATCGTGCGGCGCCTGTGGGGGATTGATTGTACACAGCTCGAATAGGGCGTTACGAAAGTTACTCATGATCCTTGTTTGGTGGCCTATACTTTACAAGTCATACAAACACAAGCTCCTGCAACTTGGAGCTTTTAACCTTGAAGCCTGATAAGAAACACTAATTAAGACCAAACCCAGGCCCCACAGCGACCTCCCTCCAGAAATAAAAGGGGGAAGCGATGATCAATAGAAGTAGTAGAAGTAGAAGTAGAAGTAGAAGTAGAAGTAGAAGTAGAGTAGTAGTAGTAGTAGTAGTAGTAGTAGCAGTAGCAGTAGTAGTAGTAGTAGTAGTAGCAGCAGCAGTAGTAGGTGGTAGTACTGGTAGTGGTAGTCGTAGTCGTAGCAGTTGTAGTAGTAGTCGTCGTCATCGTCGTCGTCGTCGTCGTAGTAGTAGTAGTAGTGGTAGTGGTAGTGATAGTAGCAGCAGCAGGCAAGTTGTTGAAGAAGCATTCATGCAGGGCTGCGCCTGGCTATCCCGCTTGCGCTTCCAGTCGCCGCCCCAGCTGCTGCCCCAGCTGGTGCCCCAGCCACCATCCCAGGACATCTGTGTCTGTACTTTAACACTTGCGCGTAACCTGAACCCTGCATGTGTCTTGACTGCTTCGCTGTCCAATATTGTCCGGTTGGGCGAATGCTTGTGGAGCAAGGCTCTGTTGTCGTGCGCAAGCTTCCCCGAACTTCGGAAAGAATGCCTTCCGTGAGTCCACAACAAGCCTTCAACAAGCCCAGGACTTGAAGCCACAACTTCAAACTTGAAGCAGGCTGCAGTTTTGTGGAGCATCAAGCACGTTCGCGCCCAGATGCTTCAACGAGTCTTCCTTAAGCCCAGGATATCAGGGGAGGAGTTCAGGAAGGCATCCCTGAGACTCGGGAACGCAGCAGCTGTGGGCCCGCGACGGCTTCCATCAGTGCCGTTTCTCCAGCGAAGTCGTCCTGGTATAAAGTTTTCGAAGACTCTAGACTCTCTAAACCTTGAAACCCTAAAAAAAGAGTAATTATACCTAGCTCTGCTACTGAAGGCTCCTATTTTGCGATCGGACCTTCTGCGCACACTTTGCTGAAACTTCTCGAAACATATAGCATGCCCTCAATAGAATAGGCACCTAAAGTCCCTGCATTCCTGTCTGGGGCTATGTCACACTAGAACAACAGACAATCGTGGCAAGCATGGTGAAGGAATTTCATTTAAGTCCAGTTCTGCATGGCTCTGTATGCCACAATTTTGCAGCTAGTGCATTTAGGATTCCCGTCAGACCTATGGTGAGGATTTCAGCTTGGAGCCAAAATTCATAGGAAGAGGAAAGCTATGGAAACATGACTGCCGTTTTTTCCGGAGATCGGTGCTATCGAAGAGTCCTTCCTGAGAGCGGCTGATTGGCAGCGATATCTTCTGAAAGACCCTCGACCTGGCAAAATCGAATTACCCCTTATAGGCGTAGTGAACCCGAAATGCTGGAGCAGAAGACTGAGCTATGATGTAAGAATGAACGCCATAGACAAAGATGTGCAACTGGACTCTATCCCAAAAAATGAGCACGCAAGTAGACGTGGAAGAGCTCTGGGACCCATCTTCTGTTACCCGAAGCCACGCAGTGAACCTTAAACCCGTTGTGCAACTGGCCTTGTCGTGACCCACCCGCAGGGCCTTAACCCCAAACTATAAAACCGTAAACATCACTTTCAGTTAACGCGTTCGGCAGGACATCCTGGTGGTTCGGGTCGGCGCGTGCCTGATGACAAGAAGGAGCTCAAACAGGAAGGGATCTTTGATGCAATGCTGCTTTGAGTTCAGCTGGCATTTAAGACTGTTAGGAGCTTAGGATCCAAGGGGGAGTAGGGCTTGTTTTGATTCCGTAGAGATTATGTTCGTGTTCCAAGCTTCAAGTTTGAAAGTGGTACTCGGCTTTCGAGAGCACCTTGGCTCCGGCACACCACGATTATCGAAAAGCATCCCCCGTTGTTCATCATCAAGGGACTCATCAAACTGCACCTACCATTTCCACCACCATCGCGCCCATCTCATCTCCACGGAGGTTCACCATGGCGATCAAGATCGCTACAAGCATCATCAACTAGTAACTAGAACCATCCGTCACCAGCCGTTTGGATTTTCATCACAACCTGTCACAAACTTCCGAAGAGCTGCACTGTACTCATCATGAACATCTGTGCCTCCAAAAGTAGCCGAATCACCTCAGGGCGGGCTTGCGCCCTGACCTTTGGGTGTGGGGTCGTCGGGCTGTAGAGCTGCCAGAAGCTTTAGGGCCATGAGGAAAGGGGTTGATTTTAAAGCTGAGTTGTGGATTCGTGGTTGCTGGCTTGGGGTGGAGACTTGAAGCCTTAGAGTCGCAAGTGGGAAACAACAATCGCAAGACCCTCCAAGCACGATGGTGCATCTTTTGAGCCTCACTTCCACCGAGACTATGCAGCGCCTAGTCACTGACACGAAGACACATGCAGTGACGGCTGGCTTCGGGCCGCGGTGTCTCACTGGATTTTACACTGGAGGCCTTGATGCGAGCACGGAGGTTGCTCTTCATTACGTGTGTGAGGGTTCCTTATACTTCTTGGAGTTGGAAGCGCAACACTGCAGACATCTGGCCCAAAATCCATTCCACGCAACCGACGCTAACTACATGCGGGCAGAAGTCCTGAACGTGCTAGAACTCTTTCCGTTGACTGTTAGTGGCGTTAACCGCTGCTAAACGAACGACTCGTGACTGAAACGAAAACTGGTAGCCTTGCGGGTCTTGCACGAATGATACGTATGCTTCATTTAACAGTCTTTTCATGCTGCGATCGTTGACCTAGAGCTACTGACCCCTGCAGGTCTCTCTGTGACCCGGCAGCCGCGAGCAGCGGTGTCTCGCCCAGGACATTTGGCGCTTGGACATCCTGCACCGCCAGTCCAGGTCTATTGCATTAAACTCATTAAACAGTGTGGTACACATTAACTACATTGGGTGTCAGCGTTCAGTGTAAAGAAAATTGGCTAAGGTGGTCGGTGTGCCGCGGGCAACGTTCCCGACGTTCCCTGGGATCCGACGCGGTGCATAGTTTGCTTGCCGAATATATCCTCACGTCCTATATTTGCTCTGCTTCCCGCCAGTCCTGAATCCGCCAGTACTTCTGTTGGTACTTGGAAGAAATCAGTTCGGACGTTGTCTCCTGGTGGTGTGACGCTGGTCTTTTGGGGTCTCCAGTGCTCTCCTGGTGGTCGTAGTCGTAGTCATTCTGGTCGTCGCGGCGGTCGGCGGCGACATTGTCGTCGAGTCGTCAAAGTGCTCTATCGCCGCTTTCGAATATACACTGGGAAAGTCCTATTTCCGGATCGGTCCCGTGACCGTCTCCTGGCATCACAAGCATTTCACATGTCATGCTCACACATGTCAGTAAAACTCCAGCGAACCTGCGCGAACCAGTTTAAGACTCCAGCTACGAAGTAATCGCAACAATCAAGTCGTGCGATCTCCCCAGGATACCAGGTCAACGACCGGAATAACGAGCAATATCCAAGTAGCAAAGTAGTTTGCAGAGAATGCACCCAACATCTGCATTCCACCTGTGTAGGAGTGTTTAAAGCGTCTTGCAACCTCTTTGTAACGGCGGTCCGCGTTGGCATTGAGAAGAACTCGGACGAGGCTAGCCAACTGGCTGTGGCCTGGCAAAAGACGGCAGAACTCAAATCCGGCGGCCTGTACTAGCATCCTTCGTTAACGGATGCCAGGGGTCTCTTGATGAAAGCCTGCAGCATTGCGGTCAGTGCTACTCCTACTACCCGAAATCTTAGAGTTGAAAGCCACCCCACCCTTCCGCACCACAGGCTTTTCCTCATAGCATGTGTGCTTTGTGCTCTGGGGCGGTCGTGCTCGCAGCTCACATCCGGCCCAGGATGGCATTGAAGGGGCCCAGATCATCATCGTCATCTGCCTCCAACAAGAATCGGTACAGTGTCTTGCGGTGGATGACTTAGGAGATTTTCGGCCTTCGGACCCTTCGAAGGATGCAACCAAGTGAGCACGTCCGAGAAAAGTCTGAGTCACAGCATCTGCAGACAATTCCTGATTCAAAGGACCTCGCCATAGGTTTCTCGAGCTCTGATCGCCTTTAGCACCAGACAACAAGCTTCTATCATTGTTCAGCCTTGAATCAGCCATTCGTGTTGCTCTCGTTGCTTTGCAACCTTTTGTGCAGAAACTTCATCTAGTTACTCTTCACGGCCTCGTCCTCCTCCGGTGCCGGTGCCGCCTTGGGCGGCAGGATGTCGTTGAAGGGGCCTGGGCCACGGACTTTGACTTGAGTGTAAGCCTTTCAAAACTCCTACAAATGCCTGAAGGTCGCCCAGGAAAGCAAACATGTCCCATCGCGTTCGATCCCGTAGGTTGAAAGGGGACCGCCGCGAACTTATTGCGTCCACATCACTGCGTTGCAGGCATCACTCAACTGCCCAATCACAATGGCTTCTGCTTATCCTGTGGGTGGCAGTGTCCAGACCCATGGTCCTAACTCCGACGTGACTTCTCCCGACCTCCCCCGGCCCACCCTCCTGCGATCAAGTGAATTAATTTTGCCGAAGCGGCCGAGGTCGAGGTCGTCGTCCGCCGGCGGCGCGGTGCGCCTCACAGAAGATCTCTTTGTCACACTCTGAAGCCTTGAGAAACTGGGCCCCTGGCTTCGGGAGGACGGCGTTGAAGGGTCCGAGGTCGTCGTCGTCCTCTGCGGCTTCGACCGGCTGCTTTGGCGGCAGGATGGCCTGGCTTGCCGTCGAACGTCGATTGAAGAGATTCTAGGAAGTCAGCGCGGCAGTATGCGCTGTGTGAGAAAAGAAACTCAGGATTGGGAAGGCAGTGCAAAATGCGCTTGGCAAGGCTTTGGGCTTCGCAGTGCTGCCGGAAGCCACGCGAGCCCAACTCTATCACTGCACACGAAGTGGCATTGAAGGGCCCCAGATCATCATCGGCTGCATCTTCTGACCAGCGAGATCTGCGATGACCCACCTCTGTGCGAACTGGCTTTCCTCTTCCAGCTGCCCGAGACAATGGCTTCTATGCTTTTGTGAACCGTTAGACAGGGTTAGCCTGTGCTTGTTGCCCTGTAACTTTCTTGTCTCTCACAGGACTAAGTGCGGAACGGTCCAGAACATGTGATTACGCGCAGGTTATCGTTCTCTTGCTCCCTCCCTCCCCCTCCCTCTCTACTACTCTACGTATACTTATCATCCATCTGTTCTATTCGATATTTATGCAAGTGAATAGCCAGATCGGGAGTCAAGAGCGGAGAGAGAGAGGCAAAGAGAGAGAGAGAGAGAGAGAGAGAGAGAGAGAGACAGAGAAAGACAAACACATAAATGCCGCCCGATCCCAAAGGAGGAAACTAGGTGGTGGCAACTGGAGCGTTACATGGTCATCCTAAGCAGATATGTCAACATGGGTCGAACATCCAACCTGCTTTGAACCTGGAGCTCGCTTAGGTGCCAGGAAAGGGCAGAAGTGAGACTCGTCTTCGCAGGCAGAGGCTTCATACGTCTGCTATAAGGGCATGCGCTTGAGAAATGTGCCAGAAGAAATAACTCCAACACTCAACCCGGAACCCTAAGGTGACGAGGAACGGAAACCGCGGCCAGAACAACACAAGGAGTCAAAGAGTTTGAAATGCTGTTGGGAAGTTTTGGGATTCCGACAATCGAGAGCTCTCGGGGGTCGGTGAGGCTGAAAATCAAAACGAGTTCGTCTGACCCATAACTATCGTTCCTTGGTAGTATAGCATGGCATTGCAGATCCGTAGTGACGTTTGCAAGAGGCCGAAAGCTTCACGCAACCGGAAGCAATGTCGACCTCGCTGTCAGCTGGTTGGGCGTGATCTGCAGGTTCCTCTGAAGCTAGGGGCTTACGGTGCAGTGCATCACGTCTTTAGACAACTATAACCAGATCAGTCCCATCACCCACAACAACAGCGTTGCTTGCACCATGGTCATCATGCCACTCATAACACGCCTCATCATCTCCGGAATCCTGCAGAAGCATCACACCACTCTCGTCCTCGAAAGTCTTTCCATCATCGTCGCCGTCTTCGCTGTTTCTTTTTTGATCCGCGTTGCTGTGCTTCCGACATCGCTATCATCATGACACCGTGGTCATCTCCACCACCAGCGCATAGCTAGTTCTTCAGCCCTGCAGTTCTAGTTGTTGGTATTCGATAATAAGCCCTGCTCAACTTCGTGTAGGCTGCCTGCAATAAATGATGCCGACTCGGTTTTGCACTCCTCAGGATCCATCCGTCTACTTTTCGGTTTTGGCTGCAAGACTGTCATCTAAAGCTTGAAGAGTATTAAGAGGCTCTTTCGGGTTTCCAAGATGATGAATTGTTAATGAAGCTCTCCGAACATTCCCCGGCATGTGTATCCGAGCCGAAGTATGCAGCAGGCTTTTTATGCCATGTCTGATCCATCTGAATGCTGCACCCCGCAAAAACCCGAAATAACAACACAAACAGGATGCTCAATCAACACGCAAACCTCTCTTGTTTAACAACTCTTTGCCGCCGAAACCCCCTGACACTAGTAGAAGGCTCACTGCTGCCCGATCCTGCATGGTCACCTCAATGAACCCCAGGAGCGGAGAGAAGCGGCAGGCCTGAACCCGGACTGGGAAAGACATACCTACTATACTATACTACATTACGTTACATTACATTACATACATGTACATGCGTACCAAAAACACAAAGAATTCCTCCATACATCCACAAATCCGTACATCCGTACATCCATACAAACGAAACGTACCATACTTACGACACATACGTACATATGTTGCACATGCATTGCAAAAACATGGCATATGCACTACATGCATCATGTGCATTAATTATGTACATGAACTGTACTAACCCACATTACACATTACATTACATAGTTTGCATACATTGCATACATACATGCAGTAGATGATTAGATCGTTTGCATACATAGCATACATAGGACCATAGCATATACAACATACATAGCCGGCATATAAATAAAATGTATACAATACATAAGTCGGCATACATACATACCGTACCTCCATACATCCATCCCTGCGTCCATATATTGTAATTTTATTCTACATAAGATGACATCATGTCTAGTATAATACTACACTATGCAGCAGTCAGCCTACAATAGCCACATGTGCAGCGCACGATAGAGTACACAGCAATGCAGCGCACGTAGTGCTATGGAATTCCATTCATGTAAGAAAACGGTTCAAGAGTCATGATGAGCTTTCAATCGTCTGTAGCATGTATAGGCCATAACATAGTGACATAGTAGATAGCACACTATAACATACAAGGAATGCGTTACACATTATCTACAGAGTTGTTCAAGTACTGATGTTAGGGCGTTTACATGTGTATGTGAGTGTGTGTGTGTGTATGTATGTATGTATGTATGTATGTATGTATGTACGTACGTTTGTATGCATGCTCGTCTGTATGTACGTATGTACGTACGCATGTATATCCGTGTGTCTGTGTGTGTGTGGTTACTTACCTTCTAGAGCGAGCAAGGCACACACACACATGCCTGCAAACATGGCGATAACTTTGTCCATCCTTAAAATGTGTATACATATGCATGGATGGATGCATGAACCTGAGGTGTGTGTATATCTTTCGTGGCATCAACAACATATGTCACAATGTGGTGCTGCTTGTCGTAAAACTTTAGTACTGGAAATGTCGTGTTTCGGATGCTGGATTGTGCTTGGTTGTAGTACAACATTAGTACTGGAACGGATGCTGGCTAGGGCCTATCGCTTTTCCAACGAATGGAGCATTCTGATTCATTTTATCTCTGCAAAGTATGGCCCCCCACATGATAATTTTTGCAGTTGCTCACAAAACAAGACGGAGCTTCCGCGGGACCTTCCGCGGAGCGATTGCTTCCGCAAAGCTTCCGCGTGCTTCCGCGCACACAGTCCCGTGCAAATTTTTTCGGCGACAACGATTGATATTTCCGCGTTTACTCATAATCAAAGAAGCGTACAAAAAAACCGCGGCTCACATGTCGATCGATGGACTGAGAGACAAAGCCGGCCAGACACGAGGAGCGGCAGGGAGGGAGAGAGGGAGGGAGGGGCAGAGGAAGAGGGCGCATACATGCACGCACGAACGTTTGCACGCGCATGCACACGCACACGCGGACACACAACTCTCTCTCTCTCTCTCTCTCACACCACACAGAGAGCGAGAGAGAGAGAAAGAGAGACGCGCGCGCCTTTGTGCAGACCCGACCCGCAGCGAATCCTGCTGGTTCAATGCATGTGTCTATATGTCTGTACGTATGTATGGCATACGTGTATGTATGCATCTATGTATGTATGCACGTAGTGGATAGATACAAATGTTGCACCTACATGTCTACAGAGCCAAGAAAGACACCCTCATATGCCTATAAGTCAGTAGGTCTGTATGCATGCATGCATGCATGCATGCATGGATGGATGGATGGATAGACGGACGGATGGATATCATGTGCATCTCTTTTGTTGGCTCAGTCTTCCTTCCTTTTGGTGGAGTACGACAGTGACGAAAAACAAGAACCGTGGCAGCGACATCCTGGCCATTTGTGCATATGCAAACCTCTCATGCGCTTTCCGCTTTCGTTCTGCATCCGAGAAGTCCCATCTCGTCTTGAACCAGTTTACCCTGCCGCGCCTCGACTGCAGACTCGTAGTCTGCAAATTCGGCAGTGCCGTTTCCGGAGTGCTGGCCCGTCCTCAGATCGGACTCAGGTCCGCTTTGGAGTTAAGGGCTGTTTCACACTCGCACCACCTCGCACGAGGCAGGCAAGGCTCCCCACCATGTCGGCTGAAGACAGCTCGCACTGCGATCCCAGAGAAGGGCATAAGCAACCCAAACCAACAAAGGAACAGCGGTTAAGGGCTTTAGGGCTTTTGTTGTAGAATTACTGGCTCTTGTACATGTTACAATCCTGGAAGCCCGCAAAAATTAACCAACAAACAAGAGGGACCCCACATTTTGTAGCCAAGATTGCAAAACACAAACCTCAAAATTGCTAAGAATCTCCAAGTTGAGGGGGATGGAACGGTTCAGCATGGCCAAAAGTCTCAAACTTGTGGAGGCCTGCAAAAGCCGAAACCAGCCCAAAAGCTACAGGGCCCCAATGCCGACCTTCATCCGAAACCTGGAGGACGGGCCGCAGCGCACATGCCTCCACGTAAAACCTAAAACCCTGAAACCACAAAATGCGAAAGCCCCGAAACCCTAAACCCTTAATGGGTGGTTGTCGAATGCAGGGTCCCTTACTACATTGGGGACTCAAAAAGGGACCCTAATTTAGAGAACTACCCCCGAATTGCTGAAGCCCTAAGGCCACAACCGGCCCAAAGACTGGCAGTCGGGCCACGACCGGTCATGGGCCAAGTGCAGGCTCTTGACTGGACCACCAAACCTCAAAAAGCCGGCTGCGGCGAGGAAGGGCTCTCACAACTCGGACTGGCCAGATGAGGGTGCCGTATTGGAAGCCTAATGCAAGTCCAAGTCGACTCAACCCCTCAGCCCTCGGATTCTCACCACGAACCCACAAAACCCAAGCTGAGACCTTGAGACTGCTAAGGGAGACAAGGAGCTGCGCGAGCAAGTCGAAAACACTCCTCAGCGGTTCAGACTGAGGGAGGCATCAAGCCCACAAGAACCGTCCTCAAGCGAAGTCAAGGCATTAGATCACTGAAGCTCACTCCAAACGGCCGAAATAGCTTCCTGCTCGTGCACAGGATCCACCAACTAAACCCTAAGCCCAGCGTGGCCCTCTTCCACAAGCGAGTCTCGTGCTATTCATCGAGGTCGGTATGCCGGAGAGCTGGACGCTGACGGGCCGAGACTGGGCCTGCTGCAGCACCCGGCTAACTGTAGTGTACGATGGTATCTTGTAGAATATTCTAGTATAAGTGGGTTCGGATTAGGGAATACCTTTTCCCTTTCCTGCTGGGTGATTCTGGCTCCATCCCCCATCACCTTGATGTGCGTGGGGTTCTTCTGTGGTTTTGGCTTCAATTCCCCCTTCACTGGCTGTGGATGTGAGTGGGTGGGTGTTCTTTGTACGGATTGCACCGACCTCCCTCTTTGGATTTGTCAGAGTCAAGAAAAAAACACTCGACATCATCAGACCATCCATGCCTTGACTCCTGCCATCGCTGGCACGTCGCAGTGATACCACGGAACCGCGCTATTCGCGGTGCTTCAGGAAATGGCTCTGCGGAACTTATTTCAGACAATCTAGAATCTAGACAATCTTAGCAAGAGGTTCATTTCACCTCTCAGAACAGGATCTCGTGCTCATCGACCGGCGGATGGCGCCATCCGCTGTCGATGGTCTCGTGCAAGTGGCCGGTGCCCCAGCAGCGCGTTCCAGGTTTCCTCAGCCACACATGAGCTATCTGTTGCATGTCATGGGTTAGCCACATCATCGAGACATATCGAAACAGGTGCCTGCTCGAGTTGAACATTCACGGGTGATTAGGGCTTCGAAATTCTGCAAGCACGGCAACAATGCAAAGCCTGCAGCAATGCGTCCAATTCCCCACCAGAAGGAATGCACACCGTTCCAGTGGCGCTGTCTCTCATAGCTGTCTTGATCTGCAAGTGGTGCTTTTAACCTCACCAGGTCGGAAGATAGTGCACATGCGACGTGTTGCAGCCCAGTCTTGGTCTTTCGCTCTTATTTTGGGGCTCAGATGATCAGATGATAGTGCCTGCAATGTAGTATACTGGTTACTGGTATACTAGACTGCACCCTCGCCAGAAACAATTTTTCTATTGCCACCAGAAACATGTTGTCGCCGGCTTCACCCGCCATCCTAATCACCGGACAGCAAATGACCCGAAGAGTGGCTCCAAGTACACATCCCGGGCCTTGGGGTCCAAGCATCCACTGCCTCGATACTGGTCTCGCTCAGAGGGGCAGCATGTCCCGCAACAGCAGGAAATTGTCGACCTGCTCCTCTTCCTCGTCTTGTATATTGTCTTGCCCGCTAAAGTCATTTTCCCCATCTCGCATTGCAGAGTCATTGGTTGCCAGGGACTTAGCACCAATTGCTCTGCGGACCGATGACTCTCACGCGCACGCCTGACATCAAGCGTGGAGCAGTACTTGAGGAGCAAGTGGAACACCGTTGTCTTCGAGAAGGACTTGCAAATGGCCCGATGCATCAGCGCATCCTTCAACGACCAGAAGGGGATCTTGGCTTGCAGCATCATGGACGTGTTCAGGGATAGCCCCGTGGCATTGGAACAGCTTGATGAGCTTCCTGCACCTCACAGCGGACAAGAGCAGCTTCGAATGAATTCGGAATGCTAAACAGTGCCGCCTGGGCTTGCTCTGGGGGATGGCACAGCCAGGCGCAGGCCCGCGCCAGAACGTCCATGGCGACCGCAGTGGCTGCGTTGCCCAGCTGTTGGCCTTCCACGCCTGCTACAGCCTTGTGTCTTGCGAGTCTTACGACTTAAGACCAAGCCGTCGATTCGAGCCGCAAGGCCTCAAGCGGGAAGTAGCGCTTCATCGGAAACGGCAACAGACCGCGGAGTATGAACTTCAAGCCAATTCAGAAGCCCTGTTCCTGGACACCCTGACTCTGATCCCCCCTCATTAGAAATCCAAAACACCAACCCTGGACCCCAAGCCGTTCGAAGCCTTCGCTGACACAGAGGGCTCTGCGGGCTCGAGAAGCTCCGGAGGGAGCTCGCCAGAGACGAGGTCCTTCAGGGCTTCCGGTTTCAGCGAAACTCCGGAGTTCAGCACTAAGAAATGGGACGTGTCTGGCAAGGACGTATACCTCCTCTTTCTCTAAGCATCGAACACTTGGACTCTCGCAACTTGGACTCTCCAGGCGAGGCTGTTCGGTCCCACAGGTTGAGGTTGCACTGAACCTCATGGACGGTTTCTGGTTTAAACTTCGCGGCAGCCTCTGCTGGCTCTCTGAAATCAGTTTCCACAAATGCATTGAAAAGCCTGCCGGCTTCGTCTCAGAAACTACGAGGCTCAGAGATTCAAGAGCCGAACGTTACACACGGTAGGCCAAGAAAAAGTCTCCTGCAGAGTCGAACTCAGGAGCTTCGATCGGTTAGCCGGAGGCACAGAGTAGCCAGGCGGCCGCCGAATGGACAGTCCGGCGCTNNGGGGGGGGGGGGGGGAGTTGCGAAAAGCCAAGCTACCTGGACTAGTGGGACGGGAACGGTAGCACTGATGGGAGCTCTAGGTTCCTTCGACGAGCACGGGATGTCTTCAGGGCCCTACCCTAGAGACTCGTCTGCAAGACATGGAAGACGAGTTGTCCGTGGATGGCGGCGAAATGCGACCCAATCGCAGCAGTACTGTTGTTGGTTCTGCATCAAACAAGCCAACCTGGCCAACCAAACTTGACCCCAAGCTTCAACGCAACAACACCAAAACGAGCCAACAAGGACGCGATCTCGATACTTGCATCACCTCTGTTTGAGCACCTATCGTCTTGTGGGAGGTAGACAAGCGCCGAACATATAAGCGCCGAGCCTTTGCGACTTTCAAGTCTCAGGCGAGTGTTTTGATTTGGCGGCTCGGGCTCTACATGGCTTAACATTGAATTAACATTGTAGGCCGAGGAGCTGGAACTGGATGCCGTTTAGCAACGTAACGATTGATGCGCTCGTCGCTGTGGCGAAAGTGACCTGCCGGGACTTTTTTCCGATTCGCAGACCGCCTTCAAGCATCTTCCTCTGGCCTGCAAAGACTCGTGAACCCAAAGTCCTAAGGTGATTTGGCCCGCAGAGTGCCTCGGCATGTCCACCCCGATGGATCTCCACGGCTTCGACCACCTGAGCACTTCCGCACTTGCCAGGAGGCGGTTTGACATCACCGAGGGCATCTGTTTCTTGAAACTGCTGCTCGTGAACCCCTGAGCTGTTCAAAGCTCGGGGTAAGTGTGGTGTCTAGAGTCACGGGGCGGGCTGATTGTCAATGCATGCTTGGCACTTTTCAGCTACCCTGACAGTTTGCCACGTGCTAAGAAGTGCTGATCTCAGCCCTCCAAAAGCATGGGTACCGGAGCCCACCCGACAAAAAGCCTGAAAAGAACAACCTCAACAACTCTGGAAAGCCTCAAACCCATGGATCACTTTCTTGTTGACCCGTGCCTGCAGCTTTTCAGCCGTGATATGTGGCGGCAGTGTCTGTCCCGTGGCGGAGCACACAGCACCGTGGAAGAATTCGAGGAGCTCCTTCGAAGTTGTCCAATTTTAGCCTCTATATTCAGAATATAGGGTGGGTTAGGTTACTCTATCTATAACTGTATAGGTATATGTAACATGTGCATGTGTGTATGTGTATATATATATATAATCTATTTCTGATATTAAATCATCAACCTAAAAAGGTAGATCCACCCTTTTTCGTGGGTATTTGGATGGGGAGGATTGAGACGACTGTTGTACAGGCAGTCGACCGATTGAAGCCGATTGAAGTGATTGAGGTTCAATCGGGCACTGGATCCAAGATTCAATATTTTCAGAAAACTTTTCCTGCAATCTTGAATCCTGGGTCTGCCGATTGAAATCGAGTGACGCGGTTGAATTTCAATCGGGCCCTGCATCCAAGATTCAAGATTCTCAGAAAGCTTTTCCTGCAATCTTGAATCCTGGGTCTGCCGATTGAAATCGATTGACGCGATTGAATTTCAATCGGGCCCTGGATCCAAGATTCAAGATTCTCAGAAAACTTCCTGCAATCTTGAATCCTGGGTCTGCCGATTGAAATCGATTGACGCGATTGAATTTCAATCGGGTCCTAGATCCAAGATTCAAGATTCTCAGAAAACTT